GTATACGGTAGGAATTGTAGAGGCGTGTGAAAATGGAAAGAATACAAAAGCAAATCAAGCAAATACACAGAGGCATACAATCAGTCCTTAAAATCCAGTAGCCTAAACAATTTTACTAATTTTTATGCCTCTTAGATCCAAACCTCGTATTTTAATTCTAAAATGCAACTGTGAACTCAGGGAGAAATAACCTTCCCACTAGAACAAGGTCCTAAAAGCATGTAACATGAGCATGGTAGGTCAACAACCACAGCAGAGTATGGGCCAGCTTTGGCACTATTGCATCTGGCACAACGAACTGGTCTGGCACCCAACTCTGAGCACCTCTGAGAATGCTCATCTACCATGTGGCAGGGACTCCTTCCATCTTTGCAAGGTCTTGAAATTTTTAGATTAAAATTAAAGTCAGGTGGTTTAATCTTCTCTTGGCTGACATGGCTTTCATAAAAGTGCCTGATAGTCTGCACTGGGGACCTGTGTGCTCCTCCTCCTTGAGCAGTACACCTACCCTTGTCCAACATCATGCACTGAGGACATAGAAATGACTGGTTATAGTTGATCCATTTCCTTTCTTTCCAACTCTCTGAGAATTGATTTGATTATTTGGGTAGGTGTGGGAGCATGTTTGAGAAAGGGACAGATCCAGGGGAACCCACTGTGAGATGGCCAAGCTGGGGAGAGTTTTGCAATGAGTTGTAACAGGAGGCTCACTCTTGCCACGATCTGTGACCTGCGCTCAAGCCCTGGGAAAGTGGATTCTCTGGTATTCCTTAACCTTCCCTCCCTGGTTAACTGTCTACCTGGTGCAGAGCACGGCAGTCATGGGAGAGCCTGGGACATCCCCTGCCTGAGGAAGAGACGAGGTCTGCATTTTCCCTGCAGCTGTTCGGCTGGTTCAGTCTGTTGAATGAGTAACTGCACAGGTGCGTCTGATTGTGATCCACTGGTAGGATTTAGGATTGTAAACCAGCCAGCTACTATCACAGATCCCCATGTGATAATCTTCACAGTTGTCTCATATTTACAGTAGGTCCTGGAGCCATAACATGTCCACGTGCCACACGAGGCTATCTTTTCCTGTTCTATCAAAGGTGATATGCATTAATTATTCCAGCAAACATACAAGGTGTAGCGCTGCCAAGAAGTGGGAGCCTAATTGCTGTGTTCTTTTAAGAAAGAATGCACTTGTAAAAATAAAATCATGTCCATTCAAGTCAAATTACAATCAATTATCATTGCCCTCAAGCCAAGATCTATTAGCTGTGAATCTTGATTTAACTCAGTTACTGAAACACACTGGAAATGGCTGTCATTTCTAAAAAAAATAAAATTATTATTACCATTTTTTCTTTAGTAGTCAAAAGGATTTTGAAACAAGCTTGATGTGGGCAATTTTATTCTTTCCATCTGTAGCTTTTCAAGGTTAATAGCACTTCTTTTATTTTGGAACAATAGCTACCTGGTAGTCTCGGGTCACCGGGCTGTCTTCAGAGCGTCTTTGCATTCAGTTGCACATCCAATTAACTTGTCTAGCTAACATATATTTTTGCGCTTTTTTTTTTCCCCTGGTGCCATCAAAGTACTAATTAGTACAAAGACAAATACATACCAAACTATCACACATACTTTCTTGAACCCCATGGGCTAAGGGTAGCTCCATGACATTCTGCAAGAAGGTGGCAACATTTTCGTGCTTACTAGCTCACTTCAGTTGTAAACAGACCCCAAAGCACACAGTGTTTCCCTTTATAGCAGCTCAATTTAATGCAAGGAACCACTGGAATAAGCTAGCTTTTTGATCCATAAAGCAGAGCTGTAATTTACGTTTTGTCCTGTTTTTTCTTCTTATCACCAGTGCTGTCAGAAGTCTCTTGATTCATTATCTGGCAATGGAAACACTGAAACACTGAGACAGCAGCATGGGTAAATGCAGAAGATGCAACATTACTGACCTGCTATTCCAGGACACTGTGGGTGTCCCGGGAGATTACAGTGCTGGAGGGAAATGCAGTCTTGCTGATGGGTAGCTTTAGGTCCACGGCAGCTTCTGAACAGGCCCCAGCATGATTTAACAGGGAGTCAGTGAAGAGAGCAGAGCACAGGGAACAGGTTTTGTGGGAAAGCGAGCAGATACAACCTTATAGCAACCTGGATTTTCAAACAACCTTAAACTGCCCCACGCAAGTAGGTCTCTGCTAGTGCCTGTGACCCTGTACGTACTATCACAGCTTGAAGGAGATACGGAACTGCAAAGTTGCCTCTAAACCCTTCCACCCTGCATTCAGAGCCAGAATCCTGAAATGTCCCCTATGCCAAATGCTGGAAATGACAGAGCAACGATGAGACCCAGGGTCAAAGCCTGTGGCCAAGCCAGCAGTGTGACATGGCCATGTACTGGAAATCCAGTGGGAGCAGAGACCTGTGTCAGCTGCTTACCCATAATGTCAGTGCTAACACCCAGTTTGCTACAGTGCAAATTTAAAACCAAAACTCAAAACGCAGACTTTTTGAGAGGATAAGTGACAAAAAAGGTTTCACAGTAGCTTGTCTGTTTTGCCAGCCCCCTCGATGGCTCACTAGCACCCCCAGCTCTTTGCAAGAGACCGCTGGGTATCCCCGCAGCCCTGCCTGCACACCGGCAGGAGCTGAGCGCCAGGAGGGTGCCCAGTGCCCCAGAGAGCCAGTACAGACCCCAGGCAGACCTGGAGCGCCCGGCTCAGCCCTGCGGTCAGCCTGCAACGCTGCAGTACGGTCAAACACAAGGAATCGTTTCAAGACGAGGCTGAGAAAAGGATGATGTAGAAATTTTGCCCAGTCTCGTTACTGGAAACCTATTTGACGTAGTGAACAAACATGGAAACTTTTCCAGGAATTGTGTTTCTTTATTTAAATAAAAATTAGTGCCAGTAGAAACAATAAACTTTAAATACATGAGACAATTATATACAACTCGATGTTAGGAATTATATACATCAGGTTTTTACAGATGCAAATACATTTATACCAAAAGTAAAAGGAGAAAGCAATGGAAAATGTGACAACTCGTGCATGTCTGTCTCATTTGGAAAGTTTCAGGATTCAAGTGATTCCAGGCAAAGTGCCAAACTTAATTTGGCTTCTTTCAAACTTAAAACACCCCCTTTTTGGAGTTAATCTACCAAAAAGCTTTATACGGTCTGATCCAAAGGTCACTGAAGTCGATGGAAAAACTCCCACTGCCTTCAGTCCGAAGGAATCAGGCCCCTTCTGAGCACAACGCAGCCTTTGTTCTGCTGTGTTCGGAGAGAGACAGCGATACCTCTGCAGGCTGCATCACATTAACCCTGCGAACCTAAAGCCAAGCTCTCCCTTCTAAATGGCAGAAGCAAACCAGCCTCTTGCCTCAGTTCA